GAAACTGAGAATTAATATGTCCCTTAAACAGAGGGGGGCCTGCGGGGTGGGGGGATGAGTGCATCAAAGGGATGAGAAACGCCCTCCCCTCCAGCTCTGCCGGTGCCCCTCACTCTCGACCCGCAGCCCCAGCCCTGGGCTCCCCCCCCCCCCCCCCCCCCAGCTCTGCCGGTGCCCCTCACTCTCGACCCGCAGCCCCTGCTAGCCCAGCCCTGGCCTCCCTACTCCCACCCTCTGCAGAACTGCCCTAGCTCGGGGGAGGGGGAGGCTGCGCATCGGGGGTGAGGGGCGCTGCTAGAGCTGGGCACAAAATGATTTCTCCATAGTAGTAACCTTGGAAAAGGAGGCAGGAGTTTAGAGCTGGGGGGGGGGGGGGGGAGCCCGGACTCCTGGGTGGTCTCCCCAGCTCTGTCGAGTGGTTGGAGCACGGGGGGGGGGGGGGGTGATGGGAGTGACGAGGGGCCTCCCCGTCCTCCTCAGGGGGTCCTGTGCCGCTTGGCTTGGGGGGTTCAGCTGTTTGATGGTGTCTGTGGGAGTTTGAGCCTTGAAGGCACAGAGACACCCGTCAAACCTGCTCCCTCGGGTGGGCGGGCGGGGAGGGATCTCCCCGGGGGGGCGGGCGAGGGGCTCAGCTCTGTGTCCTCCCAGGCCTGTTGTCTCAGCTCAAACACAGGCAGAGCTCAGCCAAGACTCCAACCACGATCAGGGCCCCGTCTTGCCTTGGGGAAACCGAGGCACCGAGCAGGAAAGCCGTTTCTCCAGGGTAGCACAAGGCGTCTGTGGTGGAATCCTGGGGGGAGCCAGGACCCCTGGGTTCTAGCCTGACTCCGGGAGGGAACGGAGTCTAGTGGTTAAGGGGGGGATGTTCGGTTGTCTGTGTCCCCGGCGGTGACGCTGCCCCCGCCCCCGGTGCGACGGGCTGAGACCTGCCCCGCTGGCTGCGCTGTGTCGGGGCCAGTCGCTCGGTTCCCAAGAACCTCACCTGTGAATTCTGCGCTGCCCTCACAGGTTAAGGGTCTCAGGGACAGAGACGGCTGCCGGGAGAGAGACAGAGCGGGGGGATGAGAGCGCAGGCCCAGGGGTCCCGTTCGTCCAGCTGGAGCAGAGGAAGAGAGCGGGTGCTGAGAGGTTAGAGGGGGGAGAGCACCCAGGGTGCGGGCTGAGTGGGCTGGAAGGAGGAGAGTGGGCTGCAGCTAACTTTGGAGGGATGGGGGATTTTGGATGGATTTTGTCAATGCCCCTCAATCCTGACACGCACCCCATACCATTTATCTCCACTCTGGGCTCCCCTCGGCTCTGCTGGTGCCCCTCAATCCCAACCCGCACCCCCCTGCCAGCCCAGGCTCCCTTCCCCCAGCTCTGCCAATGCCCCTCACTCCTGACCCATAGCCCCCTGCTAGCCCAAGCTCCCTTCCCCCAGCTCTGTCAGTGCCCCTCACTCCTGACCCACAGCCCCCTGCTAGCCCAGGCTCCCTTCCCCCAGCTCTGTCAGTGCCCCTCACTCCTAACCCACAGCCCTCTGCTGGCCCAGCCCCACACACACTCTGGGGTGTTTCCCTGGTTCTCTTCGCTGTCTTTCTGCTGATGCTGTCAGGAGGGGGAGCCAGGGAGCGCTGCTCCGAGAGGGAGGTGTTGGGGGCTGAGGCCTGTCCTTCCATCCCGCTGGGAAGCCCACCCCGAACTAGTTGACCTTTCCCCAATGGGTGGGGGGCGGGGGAATGACAGATTTTGTTGCCTGAACAAAATCCCAGTCGGGGGATTGCAATGAGGTGCGTTGGGGGTGCCAGTTAAATGCAGATTTTATCAGCCCAGGGAGGGGATGGGGGGGCTCGGCCGTGGGTACTGATCGGCCATGGGAAAGAGCCGCCAGCCAGGTACCAGAATGGGCTCCCCGTCAGCACCTGGCCACCAGACCGGGCTACTGGGGCCCAGGAAGGCCAGTGACCTGCCTGCGAGCGGTGGATGGCGGGAGGGTGGCCAGCAGCTATCCCCAGCCCTGGCTGGTCACCAACAGGTAGCACTGCTGGGCCGGCTCTCCACGGCCAGGGCGCCTGGTAGGGGAGGGATCCACCAAGCCAGGGCGACGGCCACAGCCTTGGGGACCTTCCCCACAGCCCCATTGCTGGCCCCAAATTCAGAGAAATGGAGCCACCCCGAATTCCCCTGGAAAACAGGGCTTTGAACCCTGAACGACCCCGCCCGACACCGAGGGGCAGAGATGCTGGCTGTGTGTCACCCCCACCTCCCTCTCCCGTCTCCCCCGATATTCCTCAGGTCCCCCCACTCTTCCTCAGACCCCCCAATATCCCCCAGGCCTCCCTCTTCCCCAGGCCCCCCGATATCCTTGCCAGGACCCCCGAGTGTCCCTGGGCCATCCCCACAGTTTTATCTAAATTCAAAGGTTTCTAGACTATTGGAGAATCAGCCAGACCCAATTTCTGTCAGTTCCCAGCAGACCCCAAATAGGGACATGGGGCCCTTCCCCTCTAGGGGGCACCAGTCCCGATGGGGCCCCAGTGACAGCAAGAGGTGGCTGGCTTGGGGGGTTGTGTGTGGACACAATGTGGTTCAGCAGCTCCGTGTGTGAACCAAGTTTGCTGGGTCTCAGCTTCCCTCGCTGGCAGGAGGCCAAGGGTTGATGGGCCACAGGGACCCAGCCCCTCCCCGGCTTTGGGATACAGGGGGCCAGGACCTGGGGAGACCCTGTTATACTCACCTGTTGCCCCTCGTGACAGAGGGACTGGGGTGCTTGGAGACCTGCAGCACGACACACACACACCCCACAGCCTGTAACATCCCCCAACACCCCCCACACTCCCAACTCCTTCCCCACAGCCTGTAACACCCCCCAACACCCCATGTAACACCCCCACAGCCCATAACATGCCCAACATCCCCTGCAAGAACCCCCAACACCCGCCCCACAGACTGCAATATGTCCCAACAACCCCCTCAACCCCCATGCTCCCAACACCTGCACAACCTCCAACTACGCCTAACACCTCCACAGCCTGTAATGCCCCCCAACACCCTGTGTAATGCCCCACATCTCTTGCAACAACTCCCATGTCTCCCAATACCCCCACACACAGCCTGTAAAACACACACACACACACACCTGTAACTGGGCAGGGTCTGCCTTTCCCATCTCACTTCAATCCCCTTCTTCTATCCCTCCATCCCTGCCTTTCCCATCCCCCTGCACCCCTCCATCCCCCTTCCTCTATCCCTCCATCCCTGCCTTCCCATCCCCCTGCACCCCTCCATCCCTCTTCCTCTATCCCTCCATCCTTGCCTTCCCATCCCCCCCTTCCTCTCTCCTTCCCTCCCTGCCTTCCCATCCCCCTCCACCCCTCCATCCCCCTTCCTCTATCCCTCCATCCCTGCCTTCCCACCCCCTGCACCCGTCCATCCCCCTTCCTCTCTCCCTCCCCTGCCTTTCCCATCCCCCTGTACCCCTCCGTCACCCTTCCTCTCTCCCTCCATCCCATCCCCCCATCCCACCCTTCCTCTATCCCTCCATCCCTGCCTTCCCATCCCCCCGCACCCCTCCATCCCTGAGCCTTTCTCGCTCCCCCTTTCCTCCCTCTTCCGCTGCTCCCCCCGCGCCCGCCCCTCCCCGCCCCGCGGCGGGACTCAGCCTGTCGCTCTCCTCCGTCCCTGGCTGTCTCCTTCCCTCGCTCCGCCGGTGCCCGCGCTGCCCCGGGCGGGTCGGACGGACGGACGGACGGACGCGGGGTCTGTCTGTCGGTCGCTGCCCCGGGCGGTGTCTGTGGCGCTCGGCCGCTCCCCGCGTCTCTCTCCTCCGCGGCGTCTGTCTCGCTCCCCCTCTCCGGCGGCGGGGCCGGTATCGCAATGCGGCGCTTGTCTGGCTGGAGCCGCGCCGCTGCCGGGCCCGGCGGGGGGGCGGGGGCGGCCCAGGGCCGAGCAGCTAGCGAGCGGCAGGTGGGACCCGCACCCACCCACACAACACCACAATGACACACCCACACACACCACAACACCCCCCACACCACAACACACCACCTCCACCATAACACATACACACACACCACAACACAACACCCACACCACAATAACACACCTGCATATAACACAAGACCCCCACAACACAGCACCCCCATAACACACCCCCACACAACACCACAATGACACCCCCCCGACACAGCACCTCCACCGTAACACACACCCACACATCCTCACACACCACAACATAAACACCCACACAACACACCCCACATAATACAACACCCCCACCACAATAACACACACGCATATAACAAAACACCCCAACACCGCCACAATAACACCCTCACAACACAGCACCTCCAACATAACACACAGCCACACACTACAATAACACACACCCACACACCCCACCCCACATAACACAACACACCTCCCCAATTACACCCTGCCACAAAACACCACTCCCATAACACCCACCCATACAACAACCCTCCCCGCCACAACACACCCACACAACACAAGACCTACACCACAACACACCTGAATATAACACAACACCCCCATAATAACAGACCCACAACACAGCACCCCACCATAACACACACACACACCACAATAACATACGCCCCCACAAT